CTTTTGATCTTTCGAACGTTATTCCTTAAGATTTTCTCAATTTGCTTGATGAAATTGATCATTGTCTAAGTTACCTCAGATTTTAACCTGAGAAAATAAACCCAAGTGAATTCTGAAAAATCATCAACAATAAGTGAAATGTACCGTTTCTTGTTGAGTGTTTCAATAATTGATGGTCCACATAAATCAATGTGAAGAAGTTCCAATGGTTCAACAATTTTCAAATCTATGACAATTACATGTCCTTGCATATGTTGTTTTCCTTGTTCGGAAGCTGCACACAATGTATCATTGTCAAACTTTAGTACAGGTAAACCACAGTCAAGATCATTTACCACCAATTTGTTTAGATTTCAAATATTCACGTGAGAAAGTCTTCTATGCCATAACCAACTAACATCTGATGAAGCTTTCGTTAGTAAGCATACATGAGTTTTCCCAACTATTGGTTTAACGTCGAGAGTGAACATGTCACCATGTCTTTTGGATTTTAACAAAATTTCTTTGGCTTCAACATTCGAAATTATGTTGGCTTCTTCGTTAAAAACCACATGATTGCCAGTGCCGACAACAAGTTGAGAAACACTTATCAAGTTGTGTTAAAGTCCTTCACCATAAGCAACACGATTTATAGTAAATTGTCCATTCGTTACTTTTCTGTATCCTTTCACTTGACACTTGTGATTATTTCCGAACTTCACCACTCCAGCATTTTCTAAACTTCGAATATCTCTTAAGTTGTCCTTCCTCCCAGTCATGTGACGCGAGCAACCACTATCAATATAACATTTTTCGTCATATTGCTTGTTACATAAAACTTGAAATTAGTGGAAAGCTTTAGGTACCCAAGGCTATTTGGGTCCTTGGTGATTAGTTTGAAGAACATACTGAAAAGTTGAAGTTAAGATCCAATTGCTAACTTTTGATTTCACACTATTAATGAAGTCCACATCATGATTTAGAATTGTCACCAACAGTCGTCTTTTTCTTCTAAGTTAGGTTCTCAACGTTTTTCACTTTTGAAATTGGTTTCCATGCTAGCTTTAACAGATGGAACATAATCTTTTGACGAAAAACTTGCATTCGAAGATTCATTTAAATATTTCTCATACGCTTCTTTGATTTGTTGATGAGAGTATTTTCCAAATTGAAATGATTTTTCTTTGCCTTCAAGTCAATGGTCTATGTTATTCATTTATGAACAACCTTTTGTGTATGAAACTTTCGAAGGTTGTTTAGTGGACGGATTTGGATACTTTGGTTTTGTGGAATGAAATTCACTTTGGATTTTGTTCGAAAATCCTCAAACTTTTGATTCTCATTTTGCAAATGAAAATTTGGTTTTGTGAACCGATTTTGTGAAAATCTTTGTGAATTGTTTGTTCGAAAATTCTTTGATGGGAAAGTTGTTTGAAATTTCTGTTTGATATCATTTTGTATTGGATGTTGTGACGAAAATTCTTTGATGGGAAAGTTGTTTGAAAAATTATCTTGTGAAAAATACTTTTCCAATTAAGCGGACTTTTCTTAACATGTGAATGTGTTAAAGACTTCGTCTTAACAAATTTAAACATTACTTTTTCAGTCGTTTTCTTTGTTATGTCATTTGCTTTCTTTTCATTTTCCACAACTTGCCAAAATAATTTCTTTCGTTCTTGTCTTTTCGAAATTCCATTTTGTTTTGAAACTTTTTCAATAAGATGTTTGAATTCTTGTGAATTGAGTTTAATGTCTACATTAGTTTCTACAACATCTTGCTTTGAAACTTCTTTTGAAATCTCTTTTTGTTTCAACCCACTTTCTTTGTGGTTTTTGTCTTTAAAAAGTGTACGGAATTTTGGTAAGATTATATTCGACAATGCTCTAATTTGAAAAGAATCATCCATCTGAGGTTTTATTGTTATCTTCTTCAACCATTTTGTTGAATTCCATTTTGATATTATCAACATTCCCAACAATGACAAACACTTGATTGGGGATGAGAACATCATCTGTACACTTGAAATTTGGATTGACAACTGTATTTGTCTCAAGATAATGAGCACCTTTTTCAGTCATCACTTTGTCGAATTATTTAGTGTCTCCATACACTTGATCAACAACAAATCTTGGAATTTCACTTTCGAAATTTCCGTTTTGGACATTGAATTTTTCGAAACATCATCCTCTTTCTCATCATCACTATTATCAGTTTGACTATCTTTGATACTTACATGATCCAAATCAGTAACTTTCAAAGTAGAGGGTATGTTAGTGTCAACCTTAACCATCGAATCATTACATATTTCTTTGCCTTTTGACTTAGATGTGACATTAATGACAGATAACTGAGAACATTTGATACTTTCCTCTTCCTCAATTTCACTGATTTCGCTAAAACTGTCAGAGTTATTTTCGATATCAGCAAAATTTCATTGAGAGTCAGATTTCGAATTCTCAGTTCTTTTCAAAATTTTGATTTGTTCACTTTTTGTCAAAGTTTCATTCATTATATCAACAAGTATGTTTGGATCAAGACATTCATCTATTTTAACAACACCATATGCAAACCTATTGTCAGGAACTTTATCAAAAACAACTATTGTTTCCTCATAGTCATATGATAAACTATCAACCTTCTCTCTTTCAAAAAGAAGAAAAGGTAATAATTTCCTATGTTCTTTGATTATCTCAGAAGAATGATGTAAAGCATTTAACTTTGCATAAAGTCTTTTAGCTGATTTACAATATATGCTTCTCTGAGCCAAAATTTTACATCACATTCCAAGGTTTCCCTATCACTACCAAGGTTTTTCAATTGCATTTCCAAATACTTTACTCTGCTTTTCTTTGTATCCAACAATTTTTGGGTCTCTAGCAACTAAGTACTAAGTTTCTTAGCTTTGTTACTAGCAGAGACAACAATAGTATCGAAATAAGCAACAGTATCATCAAAAGAAATTATCTCATAATCATAAGCTTGTAAAGGAATAATAAAAGATTGAAGAATAGAACGTACCTTAGTCGTTATTGGTGATTTATCCCTGTTTTGGTCATGTAAGAATGACCTGTCACCATCTCTTCTTCATCATCTTCATACTTCGCGAACATAGAACCATGTGTAGGAATATGCATTTCCTCCTCATCTGATCCAGATGAAAAGATTTGATAAGTGCCATCATCCTCTACTTCACCTCATGCAACCAAAGACATTCCTTTAGCTTTAGTACGAACCTCTTCCAAACGCTCCACTTCGTAAGCTCCGTCCATCACTTTATTCTTCTTTTCGTCTTTCTTATGAAGCAAACAATCACTCGCCATATGTTTAGCTCCGTGGCAGTAGTGGCAATCAATTCCCGAATCTCCTTTAAGTTTCTTCTCAGCTTTGGATTCATCAGTCTTTGCTTCATTTTTCTCAAACTTTTTCTTCTCCTCGCAACCTAACTTATTAACGAAACTTCCTTTAGCATCACCTTGTTTCATCTTTGGATTGAACGGTTTCTTGAAAAACTTATTTACTCGATTGTTTGAGTAAAAAACAACCGCCTCATATTCTGAATTCATAAGAAATCCTTCTTCATCAGAATTCTGTTTTTCAATCGACACTTTCTCACTAACTTTCGAAACTAGTGCCAAAGGACCTCCCAAACTTAGTTTCGACTCTTTTTCCATCTCATTCACCTCTCCTTCATGAGTTTTCAGAAGATTGTACAAGTTATTTAAGGACGAAGTATCAAAACCTGATTGTGTTTTGACCATCAAAGTAACACATCTCCATTGTTTTCGAAGCCCCATGATGAAAGTAAGATTGACCTCCATTGTTGACCTTGTAATCCTAAAGCGATTACACTTGTAGATAAGTTCATTCAAGCGATCATAGTAGCTTTCAATTGTTTCGTTATCTTTTTGCTTGAATTCCTTCAACTCAACCAAGCATTGCTTGACTGAATTGATCTTCATTTTCTCGCTCCCCTGAAATTTTTCTTTAAGAGTGTTCCAAATATCTTTTGCAGTTTTACAACAACGAACATAATTGTAAACAACAGGTGGCAAGGCATCTCTCAATTCTCTCATACAACGTTTCTCGTTGTTCTTCAGCCTCGTAGATTATTCAGTAATAGCAGGTGTTGATCCTGATGATGCAATGTTTTGAACATTCGATGGAGGTTGAGCAGTTCCTGAAATGCAAATCTAGAGTTCCTCATCCAATCCGTTCAAGTAATCTTCCATTCGATCAGCCCACTGATCATAGTACTCTGGAATCAACATAGGAATCTTCGTAGAATATCCTAACAGGTGAGAAAATGAGGTCATCATGTTCATGTTGAAGTTCACCATTATCGTATGGATATGATTTTTCAAAAAAACTTGATGAAATTCAAAGATGAATGAATGAATTGATCAAAAACTCAAAGTTGATTACTCGATTACACAATTCGATTGCAGAATCAAATCAAAACTGAAGATCAGAGATGAGTTTTAGAACAAGACAGCGCAGAAACTTTTGAGACAAATTGCAATTCAAAAATAAATTATTCAAATTGAAAATCAGATCTTAGTAGTTAGATTCCTGCTCCGATACGAAATGTAGAAGTGAATAATCGAGTATTGGAATGAAAAATGAGAGTAAACAAGTAAAGAACACGAGATCTAAATCGAATCTGATGTAGCTCATATTACTTTTAGTGTTTTACAGAGAGAATATAAGATAGAGGACTCAAGAAAAAACTCATGTCTAACTCTAAGTAAACACTCCTATTTATAGGAGGATTGAAAGTACAAAAAATACTAAGGACTAAACATTCGACTTCGTTACAAAGATGCCTTAGTAAATATATAATAAAACTAACAAAACAAGCATTACATAGACTTCGACATATTACAACATATTTTCGACCTTACAACATTACTCTTTTGAAATGAATGGAGCTCTCGGGATCTTCGACCTTACAACATTACTCTTTTGAAATGAATGGAGCTCTCGGGATCTTCGACCTTACAACATTACTCTTTTGAAATGAATGGAGCTCTCGGGAGCTTCGCTCTGGCTTGGAGAGCCTCACTTTATCCTTCTATTCACTCTTCCCCTCAACCACCTTTTGTATCATCTCCCTCTATCTGGATTTGTATTTTACATCGAAAGTGATGTGTTGGGGTTTGTTTTCTTTTTTCTATTTCAGGTGAGTGAATTCAGAAGAGTTAGTGTGTGGTGTGTTAAAACCGACATCAATGGTTCGTCTCAGTTTCTTCAGTTGAAGTAGTTGTATGAACTATTAATTCCCTATGTCGTTTGAACAATTAAAGAAAATATCATTCTTATATATGGAAGCTAGAGCTACATTTTGGCTGTAAAATAGCGTTTACAAGTGTAGTTATTTAGTATATTTCACATAGAATTGAAAACTTTATTGAACTATATATATGTGGTCCAACATTACAAGAGCTTTTTGTGCAATGGACATAGTATCACATAAGTCATACGACCCTGTTTCTTTTTTATCCCCTTTGTTCTGATAAAGTGGTGTCCACATAAATGATGCTTAAGTGCTTAATAAGTATTTGAGAAAATGACTACACTTCAGCAAACAAAAGGAAAACGCACTCGAGGGCAAATTTGTAAAAACGTTAGAAATAAGTCATTAATTATATAGAACAATGGAGAGTCATTCGGATACTCATAATCTAGTGTTGTCGGTGGAAAGCTTATATACTCTTTGGTTTGTTTCAGGAAAACCAGATGACGGTATCCATAACAGGAGCTACAGGCTATAGAGGGAGTAAATTGGTGCAAAGGCTCTATGAAGGTATTAATATTCAATCTTTTTGTTGATAATGATCCATAACTAATACCAAGACAACTAAATTAGGGAGAGAAGGTAATATTATCTATTCTAATACAGTCCCTAAAAAAATACTATATGGTCGTGACATACACACTTTTTGGATGTTGGTGTCGAAATTTAAAACAAAAAAAATACAGGGTTAATATTTATTGTTTGTGTTCATTCTTTAGTCTTTACAGACTTCAAAAGGTGTTAGTGTTTCTTTTTTAAAGGCTTTAAAAGTATGCCCCTCTTCTTTTTTTCCTTTCTAAATAGAATTCATCGAGATGCTCTTTTAAGTAAATTGTTTCCTAGAAATTCCTAGCACTTTTGATTATATTTCTTGAAAATTTCTCTTATGATCTTTGTTCCTAATCCTTCTCCACTAAGTTTCCCAAGAAATAGATATTATTAATAATTTTATGTTCATATGTTGTTCAAAAAAATGATAAGCTATCGGATTATGATCATTTGAAGTATCATACCAGTTCACTTTTGATTTACTTTTCCAGTAGTTAGATCTTCTTAACTTTATATTTTCATATTTTTCTTGAACTTTATGATAAAAGATTTCCAAATTTCTTTATGTATAAAATCCTATATCAATCTAATTAGAATTTAGTTTCCATTCGTTTTCCCTAAAATCATATCCTTTTAGTAAATTACATTTACATACTCATGAAATTTAATGATACAATTATTGATTTTTTAATGCATACATGTTTTAACCATTATCAAGATTTAATCTTTTTGGGAGATATCTAGGTAAAATATTAAGGCCCCAGGAAAAGATCAAGATCAGGAAAGGGTAATTATGTCTTTTTCTATACACAACATAAATGCAATAAAATGATCAATAGAGTTAAGATTACGACTCTTTATTTGTCCCCGATTAGATGACATGAGGGGAAGTCTATGTGTTTCACTGATTCTGGATTATGACGAATTATGAAAGAGAAAAATTTGTTATTTTCCGGATATTATTGTAATTGTTTACTCTATGGAAGAAGGAAATGGACATATCGGATACGTTGCGGTAGGTTCATTTCGGTACGGTGTACCATAGGTCCGGGTACAATTTACCTATTTTCAGATTCGATGTACCTGTTTTCAAATTACAAAATCCGATTTAATATCAATATTTGATTTGTATTCAATATCAATGCGTATTACCTGTTAACCGAATGCAGAATCATGTTGCAGAAAAATGGATAAACTGTTAAGAATGCAGAATACAAATTTTAAACAGTTAAAAGCAACATACCAAAAACAAACATGATTCATTAAATTTAAACACTTATAATCAAAAGTTACATGCTAGACTTCAAAAGACAGAAACACATAACTCAAAAACAGACACAAATCATTCCATTCCAAATAAAAAGTAGGAACATTTGGTCCCTAACATGGCCGCATTTTTCCTTGTCCATTGTCCACATGTTCTTCATCTACATTCTCCCAAACCATGTCATCTAATCGTTAACTTGAACATTCAATATAAGTGCTTTTGGGATTGATGTCCGACTTTCTATGGTCTTTAAGATCTCGCTATAGTCTTGTCTAGTGTAGGATTAACCTACAATCCAGCAATGGAGATTTCAGGTCTCTAAGATCCCACCATACTCTTGTCTAGTGTGGATTGAGGGTCATAAATGTTCATAATAATGATAGTCCCAACCAATTCTTTCAAAGAGCCAATTGTTGCAATAAAATAACAAAATTTGAAGGTGTTTAGCAAAAAAATAATAAGCACGGATCCCAAATGTCGAGGATACACCCGACCTACCGGTGAGATTTACATATTCGAACACAAAATTATTATTTCACCAACATCCACGAATATCAATAAAGGACGAGTCTAAGACCCGAGTTTCTTGAAGACATAGAAAAATGATTTTGTTAGATCTTTTTAATCTATTGACCCATTGAACCATATGAATTGCCCTAATACCATGGGTATTCAGGGAGAGTATTTTTTTTTTGTGTGTGTGTGTGTGAAATGGGAATATCTCCATTTTCACCATTCATTACTTCAACAAGTATATGGTTTCCAACACCGATCTGAAATCCAACATCATAGCCAAGTTTAGAAATGTTCATCATTTCGATAGATGCAGATAAATCAGACGAAGAGATGCATGGGGAACCAGATTCAACCATGGTCCTTTTAAGGTCGATTGAGGGTAGATGACCGATAGGAACGCTAACCGCAGGTGGTTGGTTAGGACTAGCAGCAACTAAATTCTTATTTCGGGATGCGCTGCCTTAAGGTGAAAATCTTGGAGGAAAAGATCGTGCTAATTGTCTTCTCTTAACCCTCGATTCTTCAAAGTTAAATCTAGAGCGGTCATCAAAGGGGTTGAGATTTAATTTAGATAACTGCTAGATTTGAGAGATATTATTTAGATATGGGCTTGTATTAAGTAGAGAAAAGAGAAACATATTAGGCATAAAAGGGAAACTTGATCCGGCTTATGAATATGATGGTCCCCACATGAGTTACATACATTAGGAAACAATATTTTTAAAAACCGGTTTTTTAGTTTAATCGGTTCTATGGTTGGTTCCCGGTTCGACCGTTGCGACGGCTAGTAGTGGTGTGCATCTTACGTCTATCTATCGAACTACTCAATTTGCTTTTGAAATCGTCTAATAACACACAATTTCCTAAATCCCCCCTTCCTCCATCCGATTGCAAAACCCTAGAATTTCATACGCAGCAGTATCTAAATCAAAATGTCCGACGAAATTCCTTTCCATATCCAAGAGCTGATCATCAAAAGGCTTCCTATCATATCATTGATTTAGTTCAGATCTATCTCGAAACACATGGAAATCTTTGATCGACAACTCTAATTTTATCCCTGCTTATAGTGTTACTGAGTCGCAGCATCTCCTTATAAGGTATGAAGATAAGCAATCTGACACTGTTGGAAAGTATCTTTCTTTCGTAGATGATGACACTTTCCCTCACCAGAGGTTTGCTCATACCCTTCCTCATTCCATTAAACTACTCAAAATTGCAAATATAGTCGGTAGTTCTTTCAGGTTATTTTGTTTCCATGGATATAACATGGGAACGGAGATGGTCGTTCTTTGGAATCCTTCGATTAGAAAGTCAATCACTGTTCCTATGCCTAACAAGTTTAATCTGGATCCTGAAACTAATCTTTGTTTTGGGTTTCCCCTGTGACTACTGACCCTAAGATAGTAAAGATCATTCAATTTCACAAAACTAGCTACCATTGTGAAGCTAATGTTTACACTGCGAGCTCAGGCAATTGGAGAAATCTATCTAACAATCTTCCTAGTAAACCATTTCGTATCTTTTGGCCTCAGGTTGTTGTTGATAGGTTTATTTATTGGAGTGCTTTTGACCCTATGAATGTAGATAGTGAGTTACCGAATCATAATTTTATAATGTCATTTGACAAAACTAATAAGTGTTTTGGAGTGGTAGAACTCCCAGATAGTTTAAGCCACCACTCTCCAAAACAGTTGTGTATTTCTAAGGTAAGGGAATCTCTTGTCATGCTTGAATATTCTTTGGAACATTCTTTCTGTTTACAAGCTCATTCACTTGTTCCTTATTTTCGATACGCTAATCGGTTTGTTATTCCATTGGAATCAAGATTTTGTTGTTCGTTTTCACGGTCTTGGAGAATGAGTTCAAATAGTCATCATCAATAATCCTTTTCGACTCTCATTGTCGTAAGCATTCCAACATCCTTTGAATTCTTTATAATATGGTAAACATTTTGAAAATAATAACAATTATGATTACAAAATAATACATAAGAAATTTGATAAATTGATTTATTTGCAGTTTCAGAATTGTTGATGATGACTAGATTATAACTCGTAGGAATCATGGTTATAAAAATAAATAAACTTTCGAAGTAAAAAGTCAAAATCATTAATTAAATATTTTCAATAAATTATTAACTAACATATTTATGTTTTGTTATTTATGTAGTATTATAATCATTGATGCAAATAAATATATTTATTATTTTTTAACATATATGAGACAATTTTATTTTGTAAATTTAAAAACATAACGATGTTGTATAACTAAATGTTAGATTGCTTATAAAAATGAAACGACCACAATAAAAAAAGGTTTTTGTTGGATTACGATATTTATTGGATTACCTTATGAGATGTATAATTTAAAATTGTCTAAAAAAAATTAATTATTAATATAATTAACGCCAAACATAAAAAACCAGTCCCTCATTTTCAGCCCTCAGTCTCTCCAACTTCGCATTACAACTGCATAAACTTATTATTTACGGTTATGTCACGATCGTTTTCATTTTGGTTCTCCTTCCTCCCACGATCTTCTTCATCACAATCTGAAGATCGCAACCCTCGCCCACGACACGTTTCTTCAACCCCCACAGTTCAATGCATATACCAATTGTTGAATTTACCAGTTGCTTCTCCCACGTTCCAACATCAAAACCTACAACTTCCAATTTCCATTAAACCACCCACAATCTCATGTTGGTGTACTGAAATCCTGCCTGTAACGCTTAATGATTCTACGGTAAATTCGCATATTCTTCTTCTACCCCATTCTCTTGACACGACTTCTTCCCAAAATCGAAGGCATTTTCTTGGTGATATTAGGTATGAAATAAATGCATTAAATGTGGATCGAATGCAAACACGATGGGCCAATCCACCATTGTTGTCAACCGTGACCACCAGCAAAGCACAAAAAAACCCTGCATCTTCCCACTCACTCCACAAAATTTTCACACACATTACTCTTCTAAAATCAATGGAGCTTTGGGGAGCTTTGCTCTCGCTTGGAGAGCATCAATTTATCCTTCTCTTCACTCTTCCCCTCAACCAACTTTGGTACCATCTCCCTCTATCTGGATTTTTATTTTACGTCGAAATTCATGTGTTAAGGTTAGTTTACTTTTTTCTATTTGAGGTGAGTGAATTCAGAAGAGTAAGGGTTTGATGTGTTAAAACCGACTTCAATGGCTCGTCTCAGTTTCTTCCGCTGAGGTAGTTGTATGAATTGTTAATTTCCTACGTCATTTGAACTATTAAAGAAAATATCACTCTGATATATGGAAGCTGGAGCTAGATTTTGGCTGTAAAATAGCGTTTACAAGTGTAGTTATTTTGAATTCTTAACTTCATAAGTCCCCAGCCATACAAATTGACCAATTCCTCAAGTCATATATACGATGCAAATTGCAATGCTTCACTTTTTGGTGAAATTCCAACCTAAACTATTCGTCCATAACATTCTATTACAAGATATTATTTGTAATGATGTTTGTCCAGAAGATTAATTTATCATTTTTAGTGCTATTTAGTATATTTCAAATAGAATTGAAAACTTTATTGAACTATATATGTAGTCCAACATTACAAGAGCTTTTTGTGCCATGGACATAGTATCTCATAAGTCTTTTTTATCCCTGTTGTTCTGATAAAGTGGTGTCCACTTAACTGATGCTCAAGTGCTTAATACGTATTCGATAAAATGACTACACACTTCAGCAAACAAAAGATAAAACATACTCAGGGCAAATTTGTAAAAAAGTTAGATATAAGTCATTAATAATATAGAACAATGGACAATCATTATACTCATAATCTAGTGTTGTTGGTGCTCTTTCTTTAGCCTTTACAGACTTCAAAAGGTGTTAGTGTTCCTTCTTTAAAGGCTTTAAAAGTATGTCCCTCTTTCTTTTTTTCCTTTCTAAATAGAATTCATCGACATGCTCTTTTAAGAAAAATTTTACCTTGAAAATTCGTAGCACTTATATTTCTTGAAAATTTCTCTTATCATCTTTGTTCCCAACCCTTCTCCACCGAGCTTCCCAAGAAATAGATATTATTAATAATTTTATGTTCGTATGGTCTTGAAAAAAATGATAAACTATCAGATTATGATCATTCTCCACATTTTCTTCATCTAAATTCTCCCAAACCATGTCATCTAATAGTGAACTTGAACTTTCAATATAAGTGCCTTCGGGGTTGATGTCCCACTTTTTGGGTGGACTGGATTTGTATGATTCGTGGAAACGAGATAGAAATCGAATGTTGGAGTGAATGTCAACCAATTTATCAGCTCTTTTTTCATTCATTGGTTTCTTTTCAACTTATGAATTTAGCAATACGTACTCCAATTCCTTTCCGCGGACGAGCTACTAATAGGTGGTGAAAATACCTTCTTTGCCACCAGGTCCAAATCCGGGTTTCGGCTCCATAGGTTGACCACCAATCTGGATCCGTTGTTAAAGCATCCATTTGTGTTTCCTCCATAGAGTAGATACCTTTCTTCATAAAGAATGTTATGAATTGATCTCGTAACAATTGTCCCTCCTCTTCATTTTCAGAAAATCTATTGAAGGATTCCATGACACCTTGCATAACCTCTTTGTCTAGATTTGGTGGTTTCCTTTGCATACCACCAGGTGCCATGTTTTGAAAATATTACATATCATAAAATCGTGGGTTTAATGTGAACCCCAACCAATGTAGTGGGATATTCATCTTCTCCCACCTAGTTAAAATTATTTTCTCTACTTGTGGGTAACAGGTAACATAAGTACTTTCTTGCATCATGTCTTTGATTTCACCCATCATATTATCCATTCTTTCATAAATCTCACCAACATCCACGAATATCAACAAAGGACGAGTCTAAGACCCGAGTTTCCTGAAGACATAGAAAAATGATTTTGTGAGATGTTTTTAATCTATTCTCCCAATGAACCATATGAGATGCCCTGATAAAACAAATATTCAGGGAGTTTTTTTTTTTTTTTTTTTTTTTTTTTTTTTTTTTTTTTTTTTTTGTATCTGTGTGTGTGTGAAATGGGAATATCTCCATTTTCACCATTCATTATTTCAGCAAGTATATGGTTTCCAGCACCGATCTGAAATCCAACATCATAGCCAAGTTTAGAAATGTTCATCATTTCGATAGATGCAGATAAATCAGACGAAAAGATGCATGGGGAACCAGATTTAACAATGGTCCTTTTAAGGTCGATTGAGGGTATATGATCGATAGGAATGCTGACCGCAGGTGGTGTGTTAGGACTAGCAGCAACTGAATTCTTATTTCGGGATAGGCTGCCTTAAGGAGAAAATCTTCGAGGAGAAGATCGTGCTAATTTTCTTCTCTTAACCCTCGATTTTTCAAAGTTAAATGCAGAGCGATCATCAAAGGGGTTGAGATTTAGTTTAGATAATTGCTAGATTTTAGAGATATTATTTACATATGGGCTTGTATTAAGAGCAGAGAAGAGAAACATATTAGGCGTAAAAGGGAAACTTGCTCCGGCTCATGAATATGATGGTCCCCACATGAGTTACATACATTAGGAAGCAATATTTTAAAACCGGTTTTTTAGTTGAATCGGTTCCGTGGTAGGTTCCAGGTTCGACCATTGCGACCGCTAGTAGTGGTGTGCATCTTACGTGTATCTATCGAACTACTCAATTTGCTTTTAAAATCGTCTAATAACACACAATTTCCCAAATCCCCCTTCCTCCATCCGATTGCAAAACCCTAGAATTTCATACGCAGCAGTATCCGAAATCAAAATGTCCGACGAAATTCCATTCCATATCCAAGAGCTAATCATCAAAAGGCTTCCTATTGTATCATTGCTTCAGTTCAGATCCGTCTCGAAAACATGGAAATCTTGGATCGACAGCTCTAATTTTATCGCTGCTCACAGCGTTACTGAGTCGCAGCATCTCCTTATAAGGTATGAAGATAAGGAATCTGACACTGTTGGAAAGTATCTTTCTTTCCCAGATGATGACACTTTCCCTCACCAGAGGTTTGTTCATACCCTTCCTCATGCCATTAAACTACTCAAAAATGCAAATATAGTCGGTAGTTCTTTGGGGTTATTTTGTTTCCATGGTTATAACTTGGGAATGGAGATGGTTGTTCTTTGGAATCCTTCGATTAGAAAGTCAATCACTGTTCCTATGCCTAACAAGTTTAATCTGGATCCTGAAACTAATCTTTGTTTTGGGGTTTCCCCTGTGACTACTGACCCTAAAATAGTAGAGATCACACAATTTCACAAAACTAGCTACCATTGTGAAGCTAATGTTTACACTGTGAGCTCAGGCAATTGGAGAAATCTATCTAACAATCTTCCTAGTAAACCATTTCGTATCTTTTGGCCTCAG